CGTTGACCATCTTCTCTTGTAACCCTGGAAAGGGACCCTTATGAGGTGCTACCAGCCGGGTCAGCTGGACCAAGGTTTTTTAATGAGGTGTTACTCCTCCATCACTCATCCTTTGTCCTGGCTTGTGACAGGCAGAACCTGGCTTCCCAAACTTTGGGCCCAGGATGGTGGGTTTATTTAGACCTACCTTGTGCAATTTTAAAGTGGCGATCACCTTACATTTGCTAGCAGTGGATTAAAAAAAGTCTGTTTTCTGAAAATCTAAAATGGTGGTAACTTTGGAGTTTAGAGAATATGTATGCCCTGAGATGATGGTGGCAGATGTGCACTATTACCTCAAGGGTTTAACTTAATCATATCATCTCAACACAGTCTGTGAATATTTCACAAGGCAGCCTTTTAGCAAGACCTTAGCTAAACTTTAAGCCACATTTCACAGCACTTTGTGACTTCTCTCATAGTCAAAATGAAGTATTATTGATTTAACAGCGAGCCTTGGCTTGCTCTCTGAATAATACATATACAAACAAAGTATAAAATACTCTGCAACTCCCTGTAGAGCAATGAACTTAGGAATAACTCTTTATGGTCCAGAACTTCCAGCTTGTAAACTAAAGTCTTTCCAGCTTTTGGGGTTTTTTATCCACCTCTTTTATGGTGGATACTGTCAGTTGTTACAAAATATAACGATGGCATCCCAATCATTCTATTTTATTTAATAAACTATTTCAAAATAAAGTAATAAAGCAGACATATTCCAAGATATAGTTTGGTTTGGGGTTCATTTATTAGAGGGAATGTGTTTAAAGCCTAGCAAATGGGGGAGGGGGGAAGGAGAGAAAGAAAGGAAAGAGAATTAGCTTAATAGTAAACCTTTACATTAGATCAAAACTGGTGGTTGATTTTACCGGAGGAAAAAATCCTTCCAAATAATTAAACCAGGAGCCAAGGGATAGTAATCCCTTAGGGCAGGGGTGTCCAAGCTTTTTGCAAGGAGGGCCAGATTTGGGGAGGTGAAATGTGTGGGGCCGACCATTCAGTCTGACATTCTTTGAACCATTAACATTAAATGCAAATGAGCTATTTTATGAAAGACTAAACAAATAACTTAACTGCACTAATGTGAAGGTGATACTGAGATCTCGACTGCATTATAGAGGCCAGGTCAATTTTTTGCCATGTCCATTCCCAGTTAGCTTGTTGTAGTTAGCATGTTTCGTCTGGTAGTGCCTCTTGATATTGAATTCCTTGAAAACAACCACAGTTTCTTGGCAAATTAGGGAAAGACAATTGTTTCATGGTTCAGTGAAAAAATACTCCAATTTCCACTTGCCCTGGAAGTGGCAGCCCTCACTGTCAACTTTCCTTTTTTTAGTTACACTCGCCATTTTAGAAATGGGCACACAACTTTGCATCACAAGAGACAAGAGTGCTGACTCAGGTCTACTGTCATCTTCTGGTGAAATATAACCACCAGCCTTGAAGGCGGCGCTCAGCCAGTTGTGGATGGGCAGCAGGGGACAGCTGCGGGAACCGCTCTGTGGTGAAGGAAAAAACGCTGCCCGGCGGGGATGAGTGACAGACTGAGCTGACGGGGATAAGAGGCTGCGGGCTGCTCAAAATTTGGACTTTGGACATGCCTTCTTTAGGGGGTGGAAGCTGATGTTCTTTGTGAAGGTTTCCATTAAAGATAATTTGAAATAATAAACATTTCAGGTATGCCTGAATAAAAAGTAAAGACAGTGTTATCAAAAACTGTCATGGCTATCATTTTGACTTTTTGTTATGCACTCTGTGAACAACCCTGAAAAACATCAAGACTAGCAAATGACTTAATGACAGTTTTGGAGGATCCATGTAGAGTCAGGCCAAAAACCTCTATCTAGTCAGTTTCCTACAATGGCTAAGTGGCAAACCTATAACCAGAAGTCTGTATGTATCCTCCAAAATCCTCATGAAATCCTCATTCTCAATATTACTAAAGCAAACTGGATTTCTATTTTACCCCATAATGAAAGCAGAGAGGCAGCATAGCAGATTGGCTAATTTCTCCAGCCCGGTGATAGTTAATGAATGCTTCTCTTCATATCATGCAGCTAAACTCAGAGTTGGAGACCCAGCAAGAAAAATATACCGTGATTTGGAAATGTGAGCACATCAGCAGAACTTAATGCAAAGTCAAGCTGTGTCTGGTCATACTTTTCCTCCAACCGGATCAGGGTGGTGAGAAATTCCTGGAATTGTGTAACACTGTGAGAAGCTGCAAGTGCATCCAGCCATATCCTGCTGAAGTCGAGCACTGGATGACTGAGGAGCTGTTGATACAGTTCTACAGAGGAATTATTAAATCTGTCATTTTTACATCTATAACTGTCTGGTGTGGTACCACCACTGAATATAACAGAATTCTTTATTGGCCAAGTGTGATTGGGCATGCAAGGAATTTGTCTTCGGTGCATATGCTCTCAGGGTACATAAGGAGAATAAAATACATTTATCAAGAATAAAAAGATACATCAAGAATAAAAAGATACAACACTTAGTGATAGTCAAGGTTACTAATAAGCTATCAAATAAAAGATACAAGCAACATGGTTATAGTTATAAGTGGGAAGAGCTAGATACTAGGAAAGAAGAGAAGAATAGTCTTGTTATTTTATTTGACAGTGTTGTGAGAATTAGTTGTAAAGCAGAGTGATGGCATTCAGGAAAAAACTGTCCTTGTGTCTAGTTCAGAGGGGGGTTCCTACCAGTTTGCCCCTATTCGGTAGAACCGGTTCATCAAATCTACCGAACCGGTTAGAAGAGGTTCCA